TCTTTTCAGTGTACTAATGTGGTGTCAGCTAATGATGCAGCTGCTATCGCTATTCAATTATTTCGTCTTGATGCAAGACTATGTGATCAACATCCCATGAAAGTAGCAAGAACCACTAATAACCCATCAGTGTCTGGAAATACTTTACATGACGCCAATACATCATTAGCTTGTTGTAGCAATACCCAAGATACCCTTTGTTTATCACATGATGCTTGTGTGCAGACAAATCCATGTACTATATTCCAAGTAAATCCAGTACATACAACTGACTTATCTAGATCATTATCAGATGCTCAAATTACTCAAACTACTAGTACTTGTTCTCAAACAGAGAGTGACAGTAGTTCATCTTCGTTTAAAATAGTCAGTGCTGAACCTATGACAAAAGAACACAGTCCATTCATTGCACCAACTGAATCTATGGCGCAAGAGCAACAAGAAGATACATATATTGAAATGACTGATGAAGAAGCTAATAAATATGTATTGGAAGAGTCTTATGAACAAGATAGTACTACCAATTATTCATCAAATAAGGATATTTTGGATCGCTTAGATGTTGCTTCATTAGAAATACCAGAATGTGTATTGCATGAAGTAGAAGACATAAACTTAACTTTCATGGAAACTATGAAAAAAACTATAAAACATATTGCTTCTATTCAAAACGGTAATTTTGAAAATTTTTATCAAATATTATGTATGCGTAATAATATTTTAAAACTCATCTTAATGAATTAGGTCAATGTGTTTTTATTTCTTCAAATTTTGATTCATATTCTTTGTGTGAATTAAAAAAAAAAAATCATAAATACTACACAAAAGGTCAACAGACAGTCTTTTAATAGCTTAGGCTGGCACAATGTCAGATCATTATTATTATTATTTTATTATAAAATTGTATATTGCATATTTGCATTCATATCATCTATCACTAAGTTTACTTATATACTTAATTAAATAAAAAAAATTTGCTAATATTATATATTATTGATTTATTTGCCAATAGGCAATAATTATTTCATACATTAAACAAAGTGCATATAATTTTATTTGTTTATAAATATTGAAGGTCCTTCACCACTTGGCTCTAATCCAATATACGCATTTCAGTTGTTAAGCGTGTTGTTTCACAAATTTTGGCAACAACAGATATTATATATTTCTTTGTATATGCTTTGTCTTGAATTTAACATTTGTGAATATAATCCTCCTACCTTGTATCTTATTAGTAATATTGTAAATGCCTGTCTGAAATTTCATTCAGTGTATCATGTGTAACGTCTAAGCAATAACATGATGTGTATTTTAAATGTTACAAATTCATGTTCAAACTTATGTTGTTTAATGTTTTCAGGTATTAAATATTTGAATGAAACCAATTTGATAGAACTAACAAGACAGCAAACAGGACCTGATCCATGCAAAGATAACAATGAATTACTATCGGCTTTATACCATGTATTCTCAACACCAGAAGCATTGGGAAATAGTTTTATAAAACGTCCACTAGCACACAAAAAAAATTTGTTTAAAGTACATAAATCTGTTAAGACTTTATCCTCTAGTATAACCAAAGAAAAAGTGAGATTTTTAATCTTTTTAATTTGTTTATATATTTAATTTTAGTATGATACATAATTTTTACTTACATAGATACGTGAAATGGAAATTGAAAAAGAATTGGATGATAACTCAATGGATGAAGATGATGAGGCAGAACCAGAAGAAGTATATGGCGAGAAACAATTAGATGTAGAAGGATTAGCACGAGCATATAAAAAAATTAATTCCTCCAATAACAATGAGTTTTATAGAAATGTTCTATGCTTAGCCATTAGTTCCTTATGTGGTAAATATCTAATTTAGAGAACTGTTTTCCCAATATAAATATTCATATTTATTTATTTTTTTAGCAAAAATCACAGTAGAATTACATTATTTTAAGTCAAAATCATTTCCAGTCAGTGATAAATATTTAGAGGATGTGTTACATTCGCTTAAAATCATCTATGAAATGCCATGGTTAGATGACTTGGCATTTGTGGAACGTATAGTTCCTAGACTTGTAGCAGCCACGTGTGTACTTCCGGTTGCTGAACAAGCTAAACTCGCAAGATTCTGGTGTGAAATGTCATCTGAAAACACTTTACGACGAATATTACACTGTCTCCAAGAAGCTATAACGTTCCAACTAATATCTACTGAATATGATGCAACTTTTCAAGATGAGACTGCTGTTGTATTTGCTACAAAAACTATGAAGGTAAATAAACTGCATATTGCTATTTTATTGTCACTGAAGTTATAACTTAAAAGCTTTTGCTACTTCACTCTATCTTTTTTGAATTTGAGAGTAATTATGCTATTATAAATTATACATGAGATAACTATTTTCATGTGATTTAAATTATATTACTTATTTCTAAATAAGTATTCTATATTATTAAGTAATACACATGTTAATGTCAATAAACTAATGGATTATAGATTCTATACTATGCAAGTATTATGGCTGGGGAATGTGATACAAACATTGATAATGAAGATTTTAAACAGCCTGAAAAAATAGAAAAAAAAACGGAAAATGTAAGAGATGAAAATTTACTTGAAGATATCCTTATTAATTCACATCCAAAGAATAAAATCAATAAAACTGATCCATTAGCTGAAATTTTAAATGTAAGTTTGGAATTTCTTTTAAATGTTTTGATTTGAGCTTAACAAATATTTGTTATAGATAAATATTTTGGCCTGCCGTGCCCCTTTAATTCCTATATCCAAATTTTACAATGAGTTATTGAGCGATGCTCTTGAAATGGATGATGATTACCAAACGTGGAGAGAGCATGGCAATGAAAAGTTTTCATATATGTCTCATTCATTTGTACTTACCCCATCCACTAAAACTCTTGGGCTTTACTATGATAATCGAATACGTATGTATGAAAATAGACGTTTCTGTCTTATACAAACATTAATAGGTCAGCCTACTCATCCTTACCTCAAACTTAAAGTAAGGAGGGAACATGTTGTCCAGGATGCTCTAGTTGAAGTAAGCATAATTAACATAATGTATTTTAGTTTGCATGCATATATTTATTTAATTTTTCTTATTTAGCTTGAAATGGTAGCCATGCAAAATCCGTCAGATCTCAAAAAACAATTGGCGGTTGAATTTGACGGTGAACAAGGTGTTGATGAAGGTGGCGTTTCTAAAGAATTCTTTCACCTAATTGTCGAAGAATTATTTAACCCAGACTATGGTAAATATTTTTATAATCATATTATTTCATTGTTAGAATTATCAATCTTAAAATATACCTAATCCAATACATAATCATTTTTATATTATTTAGGTATGTTTGTGATAATGAACTCTGAAAGTGGAAACCCTACTTATTGGTTTAACTCATTCTCATTTGAAACTGCTGCCCAATATTCATTGATTGGCCTTATAGTTGGATTAGCAATTTATAACAATGTTATATTAAACATTAATTTACCAATGGTTGTGTATCGAAAGTTATTAGGTAAACGGTGTACATTCAATGATCTACAAGATTGGAATCTGGTAAAAATTGTTTAAACCTTATAAAGTGTCCTTAATAATAGTTTGTTTTTTTTTTTTTTAAGGAATTATACAATGGTTTAAAGAATTTGTTGGATTATGAAGAAGATGACATTGAAGAAATGTTTATGCAAACATTTAGAATTTGCTACAAAGATGCATTTGGGGAAATAGTATATCATGATCTCATAGATAATGGAGATAATATTACTGTAAACCATGTAAACAAAAGAGTAAGGACTTGTTAATTTGTTATACTATGAACTTGTTGAAAATATTTTTTATACATTATTTTAGGAATTTGTGGATAAATATGCTGATTTCTTACTCAACGAATCAATTGGTGTACAGTTCAATGCATTCTATCGTGGATTCCAAAACGTTATGGAAGAATCTCCGTTACAGTACTTATTCTGGCCTGAAGAACTTGAACAAATAGTGTGTGGCAGTAAAGTAAGATTACCATTCTATTTTTCTTAAATGTCAGTACTAAAAATAAGTTTTCAGATATTTGATATGTCCGAGTTAGAAGAAACTACACTTTATGAAGGAGGATATCACAAAGACACAGAAGTTATTAAATTTTTCTGGGAATTTGCCCATGCCTTACCTAGAGTCTCTCAGCAAAAGTTACTACAATTCACGACAGGAAGTGATAGAGTTCCTGTTGGTGGCCTTGGAAAATTAAAACTGACGATCACAAGAAATGGTTCAGATTCTGATAGGTATGCATTAATTACACTATTAAATATATTCCTCTTTTATATATATTACATTTAAGCAATACCTTATCATGCAGGTTACCTACTGCACATACCTGTTTCAACATCCTGTTGCTACCTGAATACAGCAGCAAAGATAAACTTGATGAGCGACTATCAAAAGCTATCAATTATGCTGAAGGGTTTGGCATGATATAAAACTAGTAAAAAACAAAACGCCCACCTATGAATTGTACTGCATTTGTTTGAGTGCAATCAAAGTCTTTAGAAATTAATAAATTTGTTTTCAATTCTTGTATAATTTGTATAATAAGTTGTATTAATTTTATTAAATTTATGTTGAATTATACCTGTATATTGAAGTTGTGTTTAAAAAAGAACCTGTTATGTTCCAGTAAAGTATTAAGAAAAGAATAAAATTGATACCATTTTTTTTAACTTGTGAGAAATACTTTAAATATATTTCACAGAAATAAATAAAAAAAGTAAATTTTAACATGCACTGTAGGAAAATTCCAAAAATAAACATATATTATATTCGTAAATTTTTTATTTTTATTAACTTTAAACAACTTTCTAAAAAAATATGAATAAATTGTGTTTTTTTTGTAACCAACACATGCAAAAATATAAATTTAATACTTCTAATATTCATCATTTATTAATGAAGTGTTTATAAAAATTTGTGTTTTTTAAGATAAATAAATAGTTTACAAAAATATCACAACCCCCAAAAATACTTTATTAAAAATTAGTAATATATCAAACAAAATAAGTTTACAGCTTATAATTCATCGTGCTGTATTTTAAATGACTCTAAAATGTTTAAACGAACACTTAAGTCTGCTTTTTTTTCTTGAGTCATTGAACCCTTAAGCACATTGTTGATGCGAATAGTTTCAGTATGGAAAAACTCATTGCCTTTTTCCAAAGCTTTTCTCATACTCTTTACATACACCTCAGCCGACTTTTGTTTTTGTTTGCCCTCAATGGTGTCCCACAATTTCTCAGCTCTCAGCAATATTTCTTTGCGTTTATCCACTGATTTTTCCTTGGCGAATTCTGATGCTAAACCATCAAACTTTTCTAATGTACCTGGAAGTCCAATGTACAAAATTTCTTTGCTGTGTTTAACAACAAACTTTTGTAATTTTTCTTGATTGAAATCGTTATCGTTATATACATATGGCTCTGACTGGCCATTCACGAACAACTTTATGACTGGGTAATCTTTTTTTGATACACCATACCTTAATGATTAAAAAAAAATAAATACACTGTAATTTTGTATCAACAAATAAATCTTTCAAACCTGATGGCCAAATCTTCATTGTCTTTATCTCCATAATCTTTTATTGGTACTTCAGCCACGAGCAGATCTTCTACCGATTGATAGGCAGAACCTAATTTTACAAACTCTTCATGTTTTTCACCATATGGATACGAGACATCGAATTTGACGATTGATACTTTAAATTTTGAAAGAACCTAGTGACAGATAAACTGTACCTAAAAACTAGTATATAACAGTTGATGCTGTTCAAAAATCAACATCGTATAACGTTCATAGTCTGTTTACCTTATCAAAAGTCAACGAGTCTAAGGAAACTACTCCTTTGGATTGCGTAGCACGACACGCGCAAATACAAAACACGAATACCGACAGGATCTGTATAAAAAACATTTTATCAAGGCAGAACATAGATGAGAGTTCGATTTACAAATTCTAGACTTATTCGAGCAATTAAGTATTTTTCAAAGTGTGATTTCTGACGAAATTACATCAGAGATCAGAACACCAAGTACACATTATTATAAATGAATAATAAGGATAATTATTAATTAATAATTAATAATATTTGAACAAGAACGTACGTTCAACGTTGTTACTTGTTACATTTTGTACCTAGTAGTTAGTACCTACTATTGTTTGACCACGTATAAGATTATTATCATTATTGCGGTTGTTGTTACCAGGCACCGGTTCAAATCGAGCGCGGTACTTTCGTGATACGAATCCTTTCAGTGATAACTGTTTAATCAAAGCACAATCAAATAGGTATTACTCTGATGGTCAGGTACCGTTTGAATTGTTGAGATTTAAGAATGCCGCTCGATGTGTGGAATCGACTGAAGAACTAAGCCCAGTGCCCCAGTATAAAGGTTATTTGGGTTTAATCATCGTGTGTCGTCTGTTTGCGCAGAATTTAAAATTTAGAACGTCTTATTGGTGAGAATAAAATCAGCCAAATTGGCCACAGTGATTCCATTTTATTGCTTATAGACCTCGACGCCATGTCTGACGATTCGTCGTCCGAAGATGAAATCACAAAACGGATACTGAAAGACTCGATCGACACTGATCTACTCACCAACGACTTGTACAGCAACAGCCCCAGCAAAAAGCAATCCAACAAAATTAAAAGTGAACATATATTTTGTATTTTAAAGTAACTCGTATGAGACCTGAGCCTAGGAGTATAATTTCATACTAAAACAACGCTAATAAAAAAAAAAAATATTTAATCACCTAGACTCAAAATTATTTTAATAAAAATTTTGAAAACAATTGCTCTGCTGCCACAACATTTATAGATAACATCAAGTATAAAATAAAAGCAGTGCATACATCAGGGTATGTTGTTGTAAGAGGAGCATGTTCAATAAATAATATTTCTGTAATTTCTTTTATTGTCTTTAATTTGATTGATATCATGTCTTAAAAACAAGATCAAAAAATTGGTATCAAATGAACAAAATCTGGAGAAATATCTTGGTCATACTTTTTTGTAGTGTTTCTGTTGACTTGTAAAATTTTTTCATTGTTCAATTTAATTAATGAAATTGGTTATAAGCATTTAAAGAAGTGAAATATGTAATTAGAACTTTTAAATCTTCGTTCCATTTCGATAGTACTACGATCAAGTGTTATATTAAATATTTAAATTTTAAATTTTTTACTATGTCTTTGATTTTTAAATGTTAGTGGTATGTCCCATTTTCTTGAAAGATTAGTAACTTCTGTAAAATATTCCAAAAAAATTTCTCCTATAATTTTTAATTCACTGGTTAATGTTTGTAGAAGTCTTGTAGCTGTATGAAGATCAACATCACTTTGTTATAACAATTGTGAAACACCATCTACTTTTCTTACAGTATAGCGCTTACAATTACTAATGTTAAAACAAAGTTTTAGATTTTTTTAAACTTGTTCAGCTTCTAAAATTTCTTAACTAATGAGTAATAACGTTTAGTCTAAAAACGCCATCAATATACAATGTTTTTGTATTTTTTATAATCAAATTATTTTCAGTATAAATATTATTTAATAAAAAAAAATTTTGAATATTTTTTTTTTTTTTATGTAATGGCTCAGGTACTATGGCTCTCCAACTTGGATTTAACTTGGGGGCTACGGAAGCCCCGACCTAAATACGCCACTGATAATACCACTTAAAAATTAAAATTAACAAATATGTTTAAAAATGAAATGTATTTAAAATAAAAATATGTTATTATAGCTATCTAAAATAATCATAACAAATATTCCTGGATCTGCTGATATTTGTATTGTTAATTACACTATAAAGTTTATTATTTTTATTTTAGATATCAATAGTGAACAAATTAAACCATCTCTTAGGAATCTTATTGAAGACGACGTTCATAATCATAATTTTATTAAGGTGACTCCAGAATTTCAAGAATTTGTTGCTAAAAGCTTATTCAAACATTTAGAAAGGTAATATATTGTAGTCTCTAAGTATAATATAATATCATATGTTAATATGTTATTCTATTAATATATTGACATTAAATTAATATGAAATAATTTTTTATTATTTTGTACTCGTGAGTAAAAAAAATTATCATTAGTTAACATTGTTCAATATGTTGATAATGTAAATATGTATTTTTATACTATTTTAAGTATGAGTAAGATTGTAATTACTAATTTCTATTCATTAAAAGTTATTATATGTACACATTGAAGTAAAAACGCCAAAAAGATATGTGCAATCAACATGTTAGAAAACTAAAAATCCTCCACCACACTAATATTTAGTATCTACAGGTTTTAAAATTTATTTTATTGAACTTTTTATGGTTTTTTAAGTCATCCTATTATTGGAGTTACAGAATCATGATTCTGAACAAATTGTATAACATGCAGCTATCAAAATAATTATTGGTGTCCTTGTACCTCTTATACAATTCTTTTAAAATATATTTAACATTTTGAAAATATTAAATTTGAATCTTCTTATTTTTTTTAAATTTCTCATATGTACAAAACTCTTTAAGTATTGTTATTGTTAATCTCTGTGTTAATTATAATATAATTATTATTGTGTTTTAATCTTTTTTAGTCAAATAATTGAAAAAAAATCAAAACATAAAAAACACAAAATAGATAATACAGATGAATCAGTAGGTATTCATTTATTCCATGGATCGCCTAAGTTACTCAATTCTTCATTAGATGAACCTACAATTAAGATAAAAAGAAAACGTCATATTAAAAATACCAGTGATGAACTCATATTGCAGCAAGCTTCTGAAATGGCCGTGTCACCTGAATGGATATTAAATAGAGATGCTGTTCAAGGTTGGGCAAAAGTGACCAAAGGAAAACTTATGAAAGTTAAAAGTAACCATGAAGGTACATTTGATATAATCAGTGATGAAATTTAGAGGTATGTATTGTAGCTCCTAGAATATTAATGTGAAAATCCTTTTGAACTAGATACTGTTTATATTATTATATTTAGCCATTTTTTAATAAACCGTGTAATTCACACTTTGCACAATCTTAATATTTAAACTTTTAAAACATTATAACCAACATGTACTTCATATTTAACCAAAATTATATTGAAATATTGTTTCCAGCCATTTTTACTAAATTTAATATTATTATTTGTATAAATCTATTCAAAGTTTCAAAGTGATTTGAAAGAAATTTGCGTTGTGCAATAATCATTTAAAATCTTCATAAAATAACGTGACTAATAAGACTGTAGAAATTGCAAATATGTAATTAGAAGTTTAGAACTTTAAAAAATGTTCTGTAAAAGTATTACCTAATAACATACACATATCATATTTTTTTTTTTACAATTAATCATTTCATTTATGAGATTAGGAAATTCACTGTGAATGTAATAGTTATTCATACTTATCAATTTGCATTCTTGTAAACCAATCATGTATTTGATATATATTATTTTAATTGTCTTTTTATCTTTTAAGTCAATTATTATGTTAGTTATCTTGAACGTATAAAAATTAATTGATATATACGCCATGAATTGACAAATCACGTTCACAATTATCACAAGATTTTGCTTATTTATTTATTGGATTATAAGTTATGACTATAAGATATAATTCAAATATTATAAAAACTTGGATAGCTTATTCAGAAAGAGTAAACAAATTTTGTGCTGATAATATCCTATACTTGATATCTAAAAGGATACATAAATATCCTCTTAATAAAATCTATGGTTATAAAAAAATGGAAAATATGGTACATAAAATTGTTTTTAAATAAAATTACAAGTCAAAGATCTTGTATGTACTTTGGATAAGTCAAAATTAAAAATACTCAGTATTTTTCTAAATAACCAGGGAAAATAAATAACAATTCAAGTAAAACATCAAAGGTTTACGCTAAACTTTAATTTTTGACGAGATACTTAAAATCTTCATAAAATATTTATACAATATGATATTGATGTAAGCTTCTAAATAATTTGAATATATTTTGAACTAACAGAAATTTTTAAATTTAAATTTTTGTTTTTTTATATATATATGTATATAAATGTCGATAAAAAACTTTTTTTAGGTTAAAAATGTTAAAATATTTGAAAATTTAATACAAGATCCCTCGCATGCTTTTCATTTATCGTTTAAAATTATAAAAATATTTGAATCATTTTGTATTTTTGTTGTTAAAAATTGATAAAAATTGTTCTTTTAATACCTATCTAAGTTTGAAAGTTTGAAAATAAAATTGGTACGAAACTGATTATTCATTGTAAATAAATAACTATATCTATTTTTCCTCAAACGATTTTTGTTATGTATTGTAATTCAAAAACGAATAACCGTAAACAGGTACTTGAAATTTTTACTGAATATTTTATATGATTATTTCACATACATAATATAATTTTAAAAATATTCTGACTTTTTGAGCTATTTTAAACATTTAAAATTTAAATTTTTAACATATAATATTGTATTTATATTGTACCTATACCTACACACAATGTGATACTTTCAAATAAAAATTTTTCGACATAAATTTATTAAACCTGTACTGTATTACCAATATAAGAATAAATTACTTTCATGCATCAATATCAAAAAAACTTATCATGAAATATGCTTAGTGATATAGACTAACAGACTTTCTCCGCAATCGTTTTTCATAAATAATAATGATGTATAATTAAATTCAATTTGAATGATGAATTGTACTTGACACCTTACTGTTCAGTAGAAAAATTAAGTACCGTTACTTGATGGCATTTTTTTATTATTTAAAAAATAAAAGTCTATCTCTTAATATGAGCATTAGTAGGTCTCAACTTACTTAGACGTGATGAAACACTACAGAGATAAAGGTTGAGATTTAACATTTATTTGGCATATGTATGGTAAGTATTCAGATTTTAAGGTATGAAAATTGGATATACGAGTTAAAGTTCTAAAATTTTAGATTTATAAGAAAAAAAAATTAAGGAAAAACAATCTATTTTTTAATTTAAAACGGGTAAATATTAATTATGGAAGCTTGATCAAGTTTGTGATTCCTGTGAAATTATTAAAAAAAGTCATACATTGTCGAGTGGCTGAGATTGTGCAAAACATACGACAGATGAAGATACGTATATACTTAAATACTTATTCAAACAATACTTTGATGATTACGAAGTACCTATAAAAATGAATCCTTCTACTACAGTTTAAATATCTATATAACAAAGTATTACAATAATATTTATTACTATACAAATCATTAAATAATAAGACTATATTAACTGCAAATAAATTATTTTTTTTGAAGATTGTTTTCTATCGAGTTATTATGGTTTTATGTAATCTAAACAGAAAACTCCAAGTTCGCGCTATGGTAATAAATGAACAATATACCTACGTATCTATGGATCAAATTAACTAATTAACTCTAAGCTTTTATAATCGATAGATATAAGACTTCAACAATAAATTAAAGGCGTAACATCAAAAATCTCAATGATTAATATCAAACGTACATACTCCTACTTACCATTTGCCTGAACATTGTACCTACTTATATTGCTGTTTTAACAGGTGAGCACTTCTAAAACCGTCGTTGTATCACGTGTAGAGAAATAAACGATGGCCGTGGACATGTAATTGAGAGATGATCAAGAAGGATAGAGTCCTTACTATAAATGACAACCAGCTTCTTGTAGGAATGGTCACCGTTCTAATTTAATTTAAATACTAGGTACCTATAACCTATTATAGGGATTTAGGGCGGTAAACTTATGATCACGTGGACAGAGTCTGTACTTAGCTGTTTGCGGTATGTAATTATAGAAATATCCATCTCATAATAATGTACTTATACGAAGGTCATAGGTTGTCGATGAATTTTGATCGAAATTAATATACAATAAATATTATCTATGATTTGTTTTCACTATTGTCTGGTGGTTCTAATTTGAGTATCTTCCCACAAGCCTCAATATTATCGATATCCAATTATGTTTATTTAGGTATCAGGTATCCTAAAACTCCAAATTGGTGAATAAGTGTTGACAAATTTACTTAAATTTAGCCAAATGGCAGATACCTAGTAAATCAAAGTATGATTAATCGTCATGATCCATAAGTCATGATATTTGAATCATAACAACCAATGAAAGTATGATACCTCTGCAGTTTATCAATATAGTTTATGCCTACTTACATGGTGAACTAACTATGATTACAACAGCTTAATAATTAATAACTATGTATGTTTATGTGTTTTTACATAAAACATTTTAAAATTATTATAATTAACTATAAAGTATCTTCATGAAATTAGAGGTCATCGTGCTGTCGTATAGGGTAGTGAAATAATTTATTATATTATCAGTAATTAGCATAGGCGTAGGGTGGTAAGATATATACCAACTCGTGGAGGGCTTCGTCTTCATTGGAAGAGGAGGGGGGTTAATTCTCCCAAGCCTCTCTAACTACGCCTATGGTAATCAGTAGGCACCCATTTTGAATGAATAAATTCCTATAATTTCAACGCTCATTTTGAATTTTGTGGATAGCATGTAAATTAAATTTCTATTATTAAGGAATTTTAACGAATATTAAATCGTACAGATGAAATTAATATTTTATTTGTACGTACTACTTGTTTTGTATTTTGTTTTACCTATTTTAACTGTAGGTATCGAATGGGACAAAATGAGGACGTTTAAAAAAGGTTATAATGCAATTCCATTATCAAATATACAAGCTTACCATCAAATACATTACACTAGAACGTCCAAAATGCTATTAAACTAATTCTTGAAAGTTTATCAACGACGCAACATGCACTTGGAAAGGAAAACGCTAAAAATATATTTACTTTTATTAATAACATAGACAAAGCAAAATTATTGAAAATTAATATAATATTAATATATACATATACTATTTAACTCCCTCAACTATTCAATATTATGTATTTATTTCCAATATATCAATAACACTAAAATATGTGAACTTACAAACTAATAACATCAAATTTTAAAGCCTTTTAAGTATTTACAATTATTTGTTTATGAGTTACATCAAAATTACAAAAGCAGTTTAATCAAAAATAGGATTTGCGTAAAACTTTCTGTTATTTCTTAATTTTTTTGTTTGTTTTATCGATTATAATAATAAGTACTGAGAATTTTTAAGTTTTACCTTTCTAAAGCACAAATTATATACAATTTTATATTCAAAATAACTTCCATTTTTAAAAATCAAAGCATTATATCGACAAATTTTCGTGTACCCACCCGTAAAAAATAAACATCATTAGAAACTAAAATTTAAAATTGTCATATGAATAGCTCAAAAATAGTAAAAATATTTAGAAAATTATAAGTTATCATGTATAGAAAATGCTAACACAAACTTTTTCAAATTTCAAGTATCTGTGGAAACATTTTTAGTAAGTTGCACAATAATTATACAACCTATTTGATTGATATTATTAGGGGTTTAGGAATACGCCCAAACAGACAATAATAATGGGTATTAAAGTATAATAGTTACTTATTTCGCATTAATTTCCCATAAATATTTATAAATTAAAGATAGCATTTTATAAGTTAATTAATTGTTGTCGTAAAACTAATTTAACTAAGCAACAATAATGAAAAAAAAAATAGATAAAAATAAAAATATAATTATCATAACGATATATTTAGACAAGTATTTAACTGCTTTAGAGCAGATACTGTTTAGGGCCGCAGCTAAAAGAAAAGAGACAATATAATATGAGAGAATGTAATTATTATTATTTACTACAATACTACTGTAATAAGCAGTGCCTAATAATAAAATATTCATAAAACATAACAATTAGGCTAACATAACAAAAGGTTATTTTTGTTATAATAAAAAAGTAGCTAGTTGAAAACGTTTAATTGTAATACGTATACTTTAAAATTATCAAAGGTACTTGTGATTTATTAATATTGTAAAATTGGTGTAGGTACTTTCCTACCTACAGATTTGATAAAAACATGATCAGAATGAATGACCGGTTCATGATTCAAACACGAGTGTATAGTTACGTGCAAGCGATCAAACTAATAAGATTGAAGACTCGATCAATTGGAGAACTCAAACTCAAATCTACTCGTTGATTCATTCAACGTACATATAATTGTTCCGTTCGCATAATTCAAATTTAAAGGTAAATACAATTGTTTTTAATTAATAGTGTATGATATTATTAAAAACTGTACCTACATTTTTTATATTTTTATCGAATTTTTACGGTTTGCAATAATAATGCTGTTTAATTAGTATTTGATTTATCATTATATCGATTATAGTTAGTATGTTAAAAACAAATGTGAAATAGGCTCGATTGTAATCCATCACCTATTTATTTATCAGGTATTTTTTTTATTTATAATTAATAAAAATATAAGCAATGCAAATGCAGTATGCATACCAATTACATTTTATTAGAGCACCGAGTAGATGCCTATTATGTAGTACCTTGTACCTATAATATTACCTAATGTTTATAGTATGAAAATGATTTTAAAAATTATAAAAATGACTATAGTTACCACTTACCTATTATTACCGTTCACGCTGATTTTTAGTAGTCAGTAATATAATCATAATATTTACTGTGGTCTAAGTAAATATAAATTATACAGTAATAGGTTGAAGTTAGTTGTAAAATTACGAAATTTAGGAATAGGGCGGAGAATTTAGTAATTTGGTTTTTACATATAACATCATGTGACTACTGATTCATCTCTTTTAATTCCACATTTAAGTCCACTGAGATTGTACTGGAGATTTGTCAATGGACGGTAGGTATCTATCACTGCACTATGAAACATTATCAATAACTTAATATAGTATGCTTTTGTATGCATTGTAGGTACCTATATAAATTTTTTAAACTTAAAAATCTGCACTCACCGACACATAAATGAAGTAATATATTTTATAATTTTTTTTTTCATCGCACTTTCAATATAGCTACTGCTGCCTCGGACATCTTAAAATATCCTACCTCTAAAAAGTCACCACTGTGAGTCACTTAGAGGATACTCACTGCATCCATATTTGTAGTTATAACCGTCTTACAATCACGGTGCCTAACAAATTTACGTACTTAAATCGTATAGATAATTATTTTGTATTAGTTAAATTGTTATGTTAAGACAAAGAAAACAAATGTGGATAAAGCGCGTCCTTTTAATATTTCCATAGTTGCCTCTCGCCCGCGTAAGTCTTTTTAAATTCACGATAACACATTTTAAATAGGTGCGTCCATTGTACCGCTAGTTTCGTAATACCTAATACATGTTTATTTTTTAGTTTGATTCGCGTATGTATTAATATTTGTACTTAAAAATACAATAATATAAAATCAGAAATTTGTTTTTATTACAATTGTTATTCCATTGCAATTGTGGATGACGTAAAATACCAGCACATTCGTCATTACATGTACGGTCTCGTTATTGTTGATCATGTTACCGTATTAGATTAATGCCTTGTCTGGCAAGTGGCATATAAAACACTAATAGCTAATTAGTATAAAATATATATTGTATATTATTATAACGCGGTTGGTATAAAAACATGCGCGTATATCTGTTAAACAAAATAAGCGGAACACCTAGCGCACAAAGGCCGGGCAGATTAGATTAGTTGTTTATATTTAAAAAAACTTTACATAATTATATAATTCTAATATCTCAATTATTATTCATTGCAATATCATTAAACTTTAAAACAGACATAGAAATCGTGTTGTCTCATTTATGAACCATTGGCAAGGAAAATTATCATAATTAAAGTTCTACTAAATGTTACGGGAAAGGATTTATTACGCTTGTTGTTTAGTACAACATGTACCTACCAACACTGTGTAATACGATTTATTGCAAAATATATACATAATGCACTTGCAAGTTGCAAATAAATCTGCTTGTTAAGAATAACTGTTGAAACCAAACCAAGCTGTTGTTAAACGCAGAATATTTTATATAATTATTGTTAATGTGTGGACATAAATATACTATTTTGTGCAACGACTGTTATAGTGATGTAATTACTTCGAGCATCACTAGGTAGAGCTTTTGACAGATGGTCCAATATTGTATGCATAGTCACTATTTTATGGGGCTAGAGAGACAAACCTATATAAAAAAGTCCTGTCGAAAATTATTGAAAATTATACCTGTGTAATATTACAAATTCTAATCTAAGTGGAATTAGGATAAAACCATTCTATGTAATGAAGCCCCTAAAGAAGGAATCCTTCTTAAAACGGAAAATTTCAAAAGATCCGGTTCAAATACACTAGTGAAATTGACCTCCTCTCAATAACGAAAAATCATGACGGAAAAAAATGTTGGTTCAAAGCGATTCCGTTATTGAAAGGTTCTACTGTATATTATTTATACACCTATATTAGCCCTTAAAATCTATTTTAATGTTTTATTATTATTATTTTGCGCACCAATCGTTGGCCTCATATAATTTTTATGTTTTTAATCATTAAAATACACTTAATTATAATTATGATATAATAGAATAGAATTTTACAAAATTATTGTCAACTCGTATAATATTTAAAATTGTTTATTTTGGGAAATTATACGACATACCATAAATTGAATAATGAATTATACAATACTATAATGATTTTCAATTAGTTATCAAAATATTGAATTACAAATTATAAGAATTCAATAAACATTATATACTATATGTGTTTTCAACTGTACAGCCGTACAAAGTATATTTAAATTATACAAATTAACAATACATTTGTTTTTTATTAGACTGTTCTATGTCTTGACTTACTGGCTACTATAGTCTATATAAAAATATATATTTTTTCCATTAAGAGTATTTTTTTAAATCATATATATAACGTGGGTAGTTACCTAAATCACTAAATCGTAATTACAATAAAAAAAAAACTGAGCGTATTCGAATGATTTGTATATTTTGATGTCTCGGCTCATGACATCACACGATACTTACGTATCGACCTATAAAGCATTCAATTTTTATTTTTATTAAATAAAACATAGTTTATCTATTATTGTTTATTGATAATTGCCAATTTGTATTTAATTCACGCTACGGATTGTACCTACGGGCTACAATAATAGAAACGATTAATCTATAAACCTATATTATTAAAGTATAATGTGTCTAACTCCATACGTTTTATATTTTTGTAATAGCAGATCAAAACAAATTCATGATTATAACGAGTTCAAAGACCAAAAATTATAATATAGCTGGTAGTTACAATATAATTAATAACGAGAAAAAATACACAGTACCTATAGCTCATGTTTTTTTCATCATATTTTCTTCAAATTTAATGTTATATTATTATAATAATAGTATATACAGTTAAAGTATTATAATTTATAATATATCTATTATGATGAAATTCAGTTATGACCTCACGGAAATCGGTAACCAGTACAAATGTATTTCAGTATTATCGCTGTTTAAATAAAATATGAACTTACATATGTATATAAATTATAGTTCCAAAGAAATTTATACTTTTGTGTGAACAATACTGAGTAGTTAATACTCAAGTTTATCCTCTATATAATATAAACGAATAACTGTTTAAGCTTTTGATAACTGCAGTACTTCCATCACTATATAATATACTGTAATGGAATAATTTTGATCATTGTACCAATATGTATTTTAAAATGTAAGTGCATCGAGTATCTATAATGTTGTGTTAAGACGTCGTGAAGGTATCTAATTAATTATTTTTGGATTGATTTGTTTTACAACTTGGTGGAATGTAATTATCTGCTTAAATAAATACGTACGTTCTCAGTGTCCATCCATCAAAATATCAAATATAAATAAAATTAGGAGTTGTAATTTTAGCAAATAAACTGGTTATGTTTTATCTAAAAAAAATTTGAATTTTATTGAAATGGTATTTAAGTATAATATAATAGTTATAGGGAGATTTTAATTTAGTTTGAGTCGTCGAATTATTGACGTTTAACATAACAAGATTCTTTTGTACGTGCTTACTCTTTATACACTTCACTTTTAGCCTTTAGGAGTTCATAGTTAGTAAACTTATAACTACTAACTAGTAGCTGCTATAGACTAAAGTATACCTTAATATCTATAGTTTATAATTCCAGTCCATTATACATATAAAGCACCATCATATACGTTTAAATTCATATTTCTTGTTTGATATTTTCCCCAAAAACATAGACTATCCCGATTTCTTTAGTCACATATCTTTCTTTACGCCTACGCGTAGTACACGATCTACAAACTTGTTATAGGTAATTGATTCGCCAAATAGCTTACTGTGCAAGTAAGGTTACCTCTTGTACCTTTAATAAAATTATAAAATACTTAATAAAAAAATAAAAATACCTAAACTAATAATGATTTAATTTGTACATCTAATCTGCAATACTTCTCTTAATCCATATCTATATTTATTATATCCAATGTATTACTGTTTTTAAAATTAATCTTAATTATTTTACTAGGCTTCACCTTTTTAAAATTAAATAAATGAATAAGTACCGTTGAGAGACTCAGAAAAATTTCCAAAGACATCATAAATAAAGATCTTTGATATCTTTCGATACTGCATACCCGATTGTCCATTAAAATATTTGTAGCAGTACCTACGCCTTATAATGTTGTTTCTATTCCTCAATAATAACGTAGGTCTCGTACATGTCCAGTTTAAGGTTTGTTTACGTCCAGTCGCTTATCGTGTTTACTATATTATAACGTTTATATTGGTACATGCGATATATATTTGAAAGTGATGTTAAATTATACGGTAAAATCGCACAAATACCTGAGTGAAAGCCGCAACTCGTTTTAGCCAAGAATTATATGTATTTAACTACCTATATTGATAAGGTTAATTATATGCTGAAAAGTAAGAAAACACACTGGCGTATACCTACAATTATTATACTATAGGAGATCGGCGAGGCTTTGGTGAGTTTTGAATTTTGATCTGACTGTATATATTTTTGCAAAGTATACAGGACAATTATTTTAACATGAATCGATCGGCATATATTATATCTCTACACGACAAGATGGTATTTTTTGGATTACTGTTTATGTGGACATGTAACTAATAAATTAGTAACGGCATTAAAGATATGGCCCCACGAGTCTTATAAAATGCTTCTTGTACGCTTAATCATTCGAGTGTATGGGTAGTGTATAAACTTTTGATTTTCGAACGGCAATCGTGATGATATGTATTATCTAGGTATATGTAATAATAGGTTACTAAAAGGTAAAAGGTACTGATCATTTTTGAATGGATTCGATTTTTTCATTCAAAATTTTCGACGAGTAATCGTTATGGTGATATAGGTATACCTATAGTAACAAATGTTTGTGATTTCAGTAAACTACAGATTAGATTCACTGGTTTACTCGTGCGGCCATACAATAATGTAGAAAATAGTTTTTTGTTTATAAATGTGACGCACTATAAGAGTTTTTAAAAAGTAGAAATTTTAGTGTATTTATTTTTTATTTTGAATTAATTATAAAGAAAATTGTGTAATTCGTCTAATATTAAGGGTGATTCGTATAAACCATAAGGTTTATGAATACCATGAGAATCAAAGTTTTTCGTCCACTTGATAATTTAGATATATTTTGAGACCTATTGGCATTAATTTGATGACTAGGTAAGCTTAGATATTTGATTAATCATGTACTAATAATAATTATCAGTAATAATAATTATTATTAAATATCAACGGACGCTTTTAAGACTAATACAGCTTATTTTTTGTATGCAGTATAAAATGGTGGAATAATTGGCCTTTCGTATTAACTTTAATTTGTAGACGTAGAGGGAGGTAGATAAATGATTGAGCGAAAGATTTTGTGTGCACACTGCACAATATAATATGTAATATAATTTTAATTACTGTTGACTATATCATATCCTATATCAATCAATACCGGGTGATTATTTTTATATGAGACATATAACTAACATTATTTCAAAAAATTATTATAAAACAACATTTTTAAGAATAAATTATGTCTTATAAATTGATTTAAAATTTTGATGAGTTTAATGTAATATAACAACACCCCGTAAAATAATTATTCCACTATCTTGCTGATACAAACTATGAATAATTAAAAATAAATAGTTATAGCTAATTAACTACCATAATTTATAACATACTTTTATATACCAAAATATACCCAGAAAAATATCATGCTTTAAAATATATCTGTTTTGTGATAAAAAAAAAAAAACTTAACAAACTATACCAAAGTTATATCAGAAATAGCTAAAAATGTAATTAGTCTGAAATTGTTATTTGTAGTAATGATTTCAATTTATGAGAAAAAATATTTTAAAAAACGTTAATAAAATAATAAATGTCTTGTTAAAAAAAGTGCGTCCTGTATAAACTGGAGAAAAAAATAACTAGTGGGGTAACGCATCTCGCGGAGGTGGGACGCGCCCGATTAGGTACGGATGCCGTATAAAAAACGTGCACTTTCCGGCACGGAAACTACCTACAATATTATCATTATCATACTCACGCGTACCGTCGTCCGTAAAATATACTAATATACTTACGCGTTATCCATATTTAGAAATAATAATAATAATAATATATGTATCGCGATAGTGAGGTATCCTCTGCAGTAGGTACCGCTTGATGCTCGTACATTCCAACTTTTGCGAATTTGATGAAACCATTTTTAATTTGAGTGATCTAGTATGGTATAAATTTGCATTATAGCAAATGGTAAAAATTTGAATGTTTATGATATGAATATATGTATAAATAATATGTGTGTGTATCGTGCGTACTTGTGCAGGTGTTGATATGGAACGTGTCAGTCAACAGCAACAGTGCGTCAAGAGAAGAGAGGATCCGATGGCGGTGATAGACAACGACGACGAGGAGCGACAACAGCCGATGCCGTGGCCAACAAAGAGGCCATGCAGCCGGGCGACGATGCAAGTGCAAGTGCAGCAACCACTGCAGCAGCGGAAAGACGACTGCAACTCGACCATGGACGCCATAAGGGGCTACTGCCAGAAACGGAACATGCCGTTAGACATGTATCGACCGGTGGCTAAACAAGACGCTGATCGGTGCGGCGGCAAGTTCCGACTGTCTGATCTGATCAGCGAGCTGCACAGAGTGTTCGCCGAGGACCGAGTAAACGTCGAGTACGTGCAGTACCTGATGGAATCGTATCGGAGTGACCCGGCCGAATGGCTCAAGTACGCCAAGTTCAACAAGTTCCGGTATACCAGAAACCTGGTGGACGCGGGTAACGGCAAGTTTAACCTGATGGTGTTGTGCTGGGGCGAGGGCGACGCTTCGTCTATACACAACCACCCGGAATCGGACTGCATAATGAAAATGCTCGCCGGGCAGCTGACCGAAGTGAGATTCGCGTGGCCCGAAAAGTCCACTGTTAACGACGACGAAAACGAAGATGACCAACAGCTCCAGCCCATGTACGAACTCGGACGGACACTCCTGGAAACGGACAGCGTATGCCACATAAACGGTCAGAATTACAGAATATATTTATGACATAGGTTGCGGGTTAAACGTTTTAACGATATAGTACCACCAGTACCTGGGATAACTTCCATGTGTTGTTAGTACTGCGCGCGAAACTATTATAGGGGTTAGTCTACGATTCAACCGACGGTTTAAGTTTTTTAAACGACAGACTTTCGTAAGCAGTTGATTGTCGCAACGTACGATAATAGTAGGTATACGATCCTCGCATCATATTTTTTTGATTTGCCTAAACGATTGAAACCGCTGTTGCCAGGGCGTTTCTCAAATTCCCGAGACCTAATTATATGTATTCGGGTATTCGGTTTAACTATACATATAATATTAGTTATTATTTAAACGTGTTGTAGAGTTATGCAAGTGTGAAGTGTTAAATTTTAAATGGGCGTGTGCGAAGACAAACGACGAGTATTATACTGTAGGGCCTGGGCCCAGCGAATTCGTGTAATGTACCTACACGTGTTTGCCATGGTTTTCAGCGAATGATCCGCGTATGAACAAAGTGAATCATATTGCATATTGCATATAAATCACTATATGTAGAGAAATTTCTTTTTTTTTTAATTAAATCATTTACGTTACAAGGATTCATACAATAAATATACGTTAATTTAGATTTTTTGTGATTTTAATGGAATAAACGTACAATCGTGCACATATTTCGATAGTTTATATAGTGACTAAACTAAATACTATTCTTAGTTCGTGGATTTTCACGCCCTAGTCGAAGGTGAATTTTTTTTACTTCTCCTACAACACGAGATTAATGCTAAGAAAGTATAATTTGTAAAGTGCAATAAACTGTTGATTAGCATATAGATGAGAAATATTGTCTGGTAATATATTATTATCGTAGTTTTTAAATATAAATTTTACGTAGTTGAGTAGAATTCGTCCTTTTAATTCGATCGTGATAAGTAAATTTAGTTGCTCTAAATAGGCCAAACGTAAAACAAGCTAGCACAAAAAAAAAATAATGTGAAATTTACAAAAAGTTATAATACCGAATATAGATATTAAATATTTAAAATATTTACTTGGTAACTACTACATAGTTTTATATATTTCTATACGAAATATAGATTATATATTTATTATATATTTCGTATATTTTTAAGTTTCGTTGTCGCAAACGACTTTACACATTCAGTAACCGTACCCTGCATTCTTACCATTTTTACCATTCTTACCATTCTTACCATTTTCTTACCATTCTTACCATTCTTACCACTGCAAGTGATAAGTCCTATATGGCTGTATCCTATTTGAATACATTATAAGTGTGGTATCACAGATAGTATAGAAAATCTGTTATAGGAATAGCTGTAATAGTGTAATATGTAATCTATGTACAGCACCGGATCTAGGGGGAGGGGCAATCCGAATCACGTGCTCCGGGCGTTAATCATAAAGGGACGCAAATTTCTAATCATGTAATAAGTAAAAAAATAAAGAAAGTTTATTGATATAAAAGGGCACCAATTTCATATTTTGCCCTAGATTAAAAAATTTTAGATGTCTAATGGGTGTGATAATATTGATTCATTTATTCGCTTGTACGATGAAAATTGTCCATGAAATATTATATTTATTTTATTTACACGTTATATTTGAGTATTTGTTATACTTTATACTGCAGCATTTCGATTGAATTTTATGATCAGATTAAAATGTGCATGGCAACACCTGTCAGGCATGTAGCCAGGAATTTTCTAGCATAAGAGGGCCAATATATTTTTACCCATTTTTATTTAGTAACCTCCTCTCACTACCATCGCCCTCGGCCATCGCACCTCATCACATAATTTGTCTCCAATTTAACGTGTATTTGCGAGTAATAATACAACTAGGGGGCCGATTCGCGGCCGCTGTTTTTTTCATAAGAAGCTACTCTCTTTAAGAATTCTACCTTGGTGACATACCTCTGACACCTATACAATCATTCAACAGGTATTGTCGGGTCATTGATTTTTAAGCAATTAAAAAATTGAAAATTCCAATCAGAGCATTAATAATATTTTGCGACAAGATTTGACGTTTTGATGAACACGGTGTAATAACTAATAAATATAGTATGTGAATGCGCATGCCTATTAAATTGTTTTTGTAGTCGAATGTTAGAATTTTCTAAAACGTTTCTATGACGTTTGGGGTACCTAGAGAGAAAAACATCGTTCGCGCAGAAAACAAAATGGTATATTACGCACACGTCTACAGCAGATTACAATGCATTATCGCTGTATAAATATTAGCTTTCGATTTCATTCCTGGCCAAAGCCCTTTAAGTAATCTCGTTCTTGTATCTCGCATGATAAATTGTGGACAATAAAATCTATAAAACCTACTGTACACTGACACTGTGTACAAATCATGCGCGATTACGTTGTTTTTTGCTGTACATGACGTCTTAAAGTGCGAATCCGCGCCCGTGCACGGTGCTTTATAAATTACAAGTCATACGCGATTACGAGTTATTAATATTACCCGACTCACATGAACACTTGACATGCCTCTTGTCGATCGCATTTTGTAACACGCACTTTAACGTTTGCCTGCGCGTATAGTTGTACAAGCACGGCAGTCGATAACGCGAAAGCGGCAATATCTCTGTCTCTTCGATTCCACGTACATTAATCTTCACTCGTATGCCAGTAAATTTTCAATCCGCGCGTCTATACGTTAGATGCACATAAATACTTGCTATTTTTTATAAATGCAATAATAAAATATCAAAATTTTAAAGTTTATGATCACGTTATAGTTCCAGCTAGTATATATCTCGCGAAACTGTGACGTGTATGTGTGTGTGTGCGTGTGTTCGACAAGGGTTTAGAGTGGTTCCCTCAACCTATGTAGAAGTTATTATCTTATGTTCTTATATATTTTCTATAACTTAGACAGGAAAAAATACAAAATATTTACGTATAGTAAATTTTTATTTTTTTAAGGATGAAATATTGTTGACCGTATCTTCTACCGTCTCTTTGCAAGTATACATCCTAGAGGTTAAAGTTTTTCCTAGGAAAAGGTGAACTATCATTTCTATCGTATACATATAATATAATAAATTATCTTAAATCTAAAGTAGGTACCTACAGCTGTCAGTGTAATATATTAAATATATTTACCATTTACGAATAAATTATTTTATCAATTATGTTCGAACTTTATCATAGTAATTTAATACATTTTTATCTAAAAGCTATAACCATCGATTTATTTAAAAATAATGAATGGTTTTTTGACTACCTATAATATTATGAAGGTTAAATTTTTTCCAGAAACTCAAATGTTTTTAAATTTTTCTAATGCATCGTGACTGAAAAAAATTTAAAAGCCTAAAAGTCACATTCACAGTTTTATACTAAGGTTCGATGTACTTCTTGCAACTGCATATTTGTTTATGATAGTTATAGAATATTATAAACAAGATATAAATTAATTTGTTAAATAGTATAAAATTAAATAGGTACAAATTTTGACAGCAAATATTTACATATTTCGTTAGATTTTACCAAAAAAAAAACATAATTGAAAAACTTAAGCATATATATGTGTACTCGTAAGTGTACAATAAATCTCCAACTCTCGAACCCTAATAGTTAATAATGAATAATATATACTTTTAATAAGATTACAACTTTCAATTTTGTTTAACATACATTTTTGTTTTTAATTATCAAACAAATAAAAAAAATGATCTGCGAATTTTTGATATTAATTAATAATATGAGTTGCGTATTCACAATGCTTCTTCGGTACGATAAGTTCCAAAAATCTTATTTATCCGATACCTATTTTTATACTTAAAATACTTACAATAATACTAATAATATGTTAAGTCTGTTTTCACAAACTCACCTATATATTTGTTTTTGAAAGCCAGTTCGTTGAAAATGATCTTTTACTGATCGTAAGTGAATTTAGACATAGGTAATATTTAGATATATTTTTTTCGTTGTATTCAACTAATGCTTATCTATAAAATAGTATGAATAAATGTATAATAATATTATACTATTTACTCGCAATGTTTGTCGTGATTTCGTTCGATTATCCATCACGGCAATGCCCATCAACTCCTGACTTAATAATATTATTTATATTATAGTTTTACACAATATATTTGTAATTAACATGATTTTGATTGAACTCAATATGCTTGTATATAAAAAGAGAAACTCTCTAATGTATTATACTATTTTCGATCGAATAACTCGAGTTCAGTGTACCTATACCGATTATTGGTATTCATAGATGGTATCTACCTATCTACACGAACACGAAAATAACCAAAACAAAAACATCAGAAAACGTTTGCATTTCACCAAATCCGCACATATGTATAAAAAATAATAATATATGAATAGTTAACTGCATTAATTAAACACACACACGTTTTATATATGTATATAGTTCCAGTCGAACGACTCGCTTCATTTTTGCATAATATTTCAATTATTCGCACAGAGATGCGTGTTAAACGAATTCCAGAGAAATCAGCTAGCACTATATATGCCGTTTCTGTGGCAGGTCGAGGACAAATTTTTGGCATAACCATATAAACGATGTTATGCTATTAATTAAGTATGCTAAAATTATAGGGAAAAAATGTAATTTTTTTGTTTTACGCGCACCTGCGTCATATAACCTTGCAGACTTATTAAATATTTTCAATTTCATTTTTTTCTCCTTTTGAGATTCCAAAATGTCTAGCTCAAATTTCTTACGGTAAACGTAGGTTTCATGTGTATGATCGATGGTTATCTACTATTTCCGTTTTTCACAATTTTATATTTCATCGATATTAATAAAACATATCATATCGTTTCAAATAAAACGAAAATATTTGACCAACTACTACAACGGACAACACGTCATTTTTAACGTATATTATAATTAAAAGGAAGCTATAATTACAATGACTAAAAACTTTTTTTATAACTAATATTCGTATCACTCGTATTTATACTCTTAAAAATACTTCAATAACTGTAATTTAATGTAATATTATGATTCTCTCTCCTCCCCTTATATATATGACGTACCATTGACGATACCACAAAAATCTAAATATTAGTTTTAGGTACACGTAAACTTGCTTCGTGTATAATATTAATATTTAATAATAAAAAAGTATTAATACTCTTAATTCTTAAATATATACTTGACCCTTTTTTTTTTTTAAATCATAATAATTTATTAATACGAGTGCATCACATTAAAGTCTAACAAAATTAAAAATATTTTTTTCAATGTTTACAAATTTAAAAACAAAAACATTTAATACCAAATTATCGACAAGACGCATACTGCAGTCTGCAGAATTATAAAATTGATATGAAATAAAACAATATCTATAGACTATAGTCTATAATATATATAAACATAAATATACGTGCCAAAACTTCCCTTAACACAACCCCGAACGAATACGTGGATAATACTCTGCAAATTTATTGATATGAACATGCACATTTTATTCGTTGATATTTATTTATTTTTATTTTTATTCCCTCAGATTCAATGGGTCTACACCGCGTGGAAAACGCCAGTCACACCGACAAGGCTGTAAGTTTACATTTGTACTGTCCACCGTTTGAAGAGTGTTCCACATTCAACCAGCAAACGGGACACAAGACTACTGCCAAATCGACGTTTTGGTCCATTTACGGCGAAAAGGTTTCAAAGGTATTAACTTTTAAAATTTTATTTTTTATAATATAAATGCACACGTATGTAGGCATAATTATCATTACTCCTTAGAGGCTTCAGCGGTTGTCTAATTCTAAAATTTACATGTCAAAAAAAAAATGACGTGCAAAAATAAATTAAGATGAAACTCAAGCCAAATTCAAAAGCCAATTTTCAAATAGTTATATATGTTATATATATATATATATATATATATATATATATACAGTATAATGATATTAGTTAGTTATATCCACATTTTACTATATTGTCGTAATGTCGTGTACTCGTGTAAATCTATCTACCCAACAGAGATGAAAAATTAAATCTTACAACCTTAATATGTTTACGCAAAATAAACAAAAAAGTATTAAAAATTAGTTTTAGAGTGTCTGACAAGTATTTGAATAAAACTTTAAGAAATTTAAATATATATGAACTTACACTTGCACCGGTACGCTGTAGCCCACCCTACTCAGCTGTATCTCAACATTTGTTAATATTTTCTAATTTTTTTCCATTTCAGAAACATGCTCAAGAACAGGTACCCGCAGATGATAATTAAGTTGGAATATAGTAAAAACAATCAAACATAACATGGACAATATCTTATATTTTGATTTAGATGAGAATTACTAATTAAATCTACCACCTACATATCATTAGTATTTCTACGACTAATTTTGTTATCGTGTGCAAAATTTTGTATGAAATAGTGTGTCATGTTAGATATAATGTATAATATATAAATATATTATATATTTTTATCGGTAAACGATATTGTATTTTGAATACTATTTTAATATATTATTATATTTTTTTTAAATTTTTTAATTAAGTCGATAATTATCGTATACAATGAACCTATGGACAACTAACATTAATATTATATGTATCACAAATTACATTATAATTATTACAATAATATATATAATATTATTGGGTTATACCATCAGGCCAGATATTTATATTGCCTAAGACGATATTAAATATGTATGCAGTTATGTTCTAAAAAATAAACAGAATGCGTTCTATCATCTATCATGTATAAACCTACTGTTTAGTGATATACTTCTACTTACACTTGGGTGGCTAGAAGACCAAAAATTAATTGATTATAATTTAGCTCTAATGAGTTGATAAAATTACCTTAACCGTTTATTTAAACTTGTAATCTTCCAACGACCATGAATAATCAATAAACCGGTTGTTTAAAGAATACAATTAAATCATGAGGCTATTCAAGCTAATCAAATAATATAATTACCGAAAACCTTTATTATAATACTAACACTAACTCAAAAGTACTACCTATTTAAAAAACTAAAATATATCTTGGATCATAGTACACATCCATACTACGATTTGGATGGATTAGCTAGAGTTAACTCAGTTGCCTAAATATGTTTTACATTTGTGCTACTTCAAATTATTCATCTTTGTTGATCTAAATTACATGATAAATTAATACTGTCTGCTTTATCAATAGTCTAGTAGGTAGGTAACTCACTCTTCAATGTGGGCCTATGTGCTCTGAATAATAAAGAATGCGATATACTCGAAGCGAGTTACAACCTAATATCCATTTTGCTGCATGGGATAGATCAACTATACATCCAATTAATGTTCATCACAATAGTTGTGTCTAAAAAAAATAAACATTACCCAACTAAATCTATCGATATTTACTTTGAGATCTGGATATAAATGTATTATCCTCGATGGCCTAGTGATTGTATAATTTTGTTAGATATAGTAAGGCATTCTATCATCCCGCCCAAAGCCAATAACACTTAGGTACTCATATAAAATCAGCCCTAATCGACAAAATCCCTTCAAAAAACATCCTTAATTTATCAATATAGTCAATTTAACGTACTTACGTCAAAAACAAATTTCCAGAAAAGTATACTAGGTACTTCGGCTATTCGCTATCTCCCTTACATTTATTCCATAACGGTACATTGTTGAGATAAGAGCTGGAAAAATATACACACAAGGAAATTTAATTAGCTTATGAGTTATGAGTTATGAACACAAGCATACTATTCAAAATAGTATGACTAGGAAGATATTATATAATTGAATAAAAAATGTTAATAACAATTCCTCACCTCGAGCTAAGGACGAGATGGTCTGAACTCGTTATTTACAAAAACGAATGTTATCTATGGGGTATTCATCAAAATATAACGAAGGCTGGTCTAGACCGGAAACTAGTCATAAAGCTCGAAGTATATGTATACTAGGTCACAGAGAAACATTGACGACCGCTCCGTTATACATAAAATTATTATAATCTTATCGCATCATTGATTATAACTTGTCTTGTAAAGTATTTGAATAAATGTAATCAAATAAAACTATATTTAAAAAATTTTTTTGTAGTCGAATACTATTTTAAATACATTTTTAAAAAAGTATTCAAATGTGTATTCTAAATACTTTTATTTGTATTTTTTTATTCATTAAAAGATAGTTTTTTTTTTTTTTTGAACCAAAAAAATAGTTTTAAATTTGTAACAAGACATTTTTCTATTATTAATTGGGAAAATTATAAATCAAGGCTAAGTAAATAGTATCATAAAAACCATAAACTTATATCCAATATTATCATTAAATAATTAATTGTCTTATTGCATATGAAAGAATTTAAAACCACAGTCAAACGCTAGACAATCGACTTTATAACTAATTTAGTGGTATAATTTGAGTTTTTTTTATTAGGAGTGTCAAAATTTAAAACATTCAAGTTTTTTTATCATAGTAAAATTTTATGCATGTTTGAGATAGAAGGGTTAAAATGTTATAATGTTGTATATTATTTAATATATTAATAAATTAAAAAATTTTAAAAGTTGGAAATATCATTTGTCACGCATACATTTGTAAATAAAAATTATGCATTATCTTTATACATATTATATTAGACGCATTATGGTTTATCATTACCTATAAATTTTAACTTTTATAACAGCTCAACGAGACGTAGAAAACATAATATTATGGGTATGACATACCAATCGTATCCCATTTCGTCACCGTTTTATTTAACCGCTGTGAAATTTCGCCGCATAATTCTCAAATTATTTTTCTTTTAACACGTGGTTGTGGATTAATGATATCTATGCACAAAAATGTAAGCCATTTTACAGTATACTTTGAAAATTTATACTTTATAAGATAGTTGTTGATGTTGGTCTTCGGGAGATGATCCAATTAAAACTTTGGTTCATGTAGACTTTCAACTTTACCTCTAGTTCCTAAAGAACAATTAGATAATTTATGACTAATAATTAAATTTGAAAAACCCTATAACTAATTAAAGTGTAGAAGAATTTTTAAATTATTTTGTTGAAACATGGTTAGACAATTTAATATCTAGATTTAGTCCATTTATTTGAAATCACTGGAAAAATACAGATGGGCAGACAACCAGCGATATAAAAGGCATTATGCAATAAATAAAATAGCTGTTCGAAATCAGTTTTGTATATTTACATGTGCAGTCATATTACGAAGAAAACATGCCAAAATTGAGGATGACATAAAACTTCTCCAACATGGAAGACAAGTTAAAAAAATATACAATACATACATTAAGCTTGAACAAAAATTTTGCTGCCTTAAGGAGAGTGACAAGCGAATATCCACAGATTAAATGGATTCATTATTTAAATAATATTGGTGATTCAATTAAACACAACGAATAATTTTAACTACATAATTTAAATTATTTAACATGATTATTTATATGTAATTATTGAATTTTTATATAACATTTTATAAAAGGTACCTACCCAATAATGGCGTATGCAATTTCGTATAAATACATACTACAAGTAAATGCATATAAATAACGTGTAGTTTTTTTATGTTATATTAAGTTACTCGGAAAATAAATTTGGTGAAATGGAAACTAATTGACATGCGACCGCCAAAATAATGACCCTATACAGTATACACATAACATGACACACAATATACGATGTTACAAGGTATAACTTTTGAAATATTGGAGTACTAACTACAAACATACAACGTGGTCAAGGTCAACGATAAATCATGGTTCTATAGATGTAGTCTTTTAATTTTAAACTATTTAAGCCCCATCCTAGCATGGACGGTATGTCTCCACTTAGAATCTTTTATTATATACAATTATTTAAAATTAATTCAAATTTAACACATCCGTTACAGCAGTCTTACTTAATAACAAGGTACACTCAAAACTTACTAAATAGCAAAGCAAGTTTCAGTTTTTTTTATTCATGAGTGGTTAATTTAATACCTATAGTGGTTCACCAAACCTCATATCTAATTTTAAAATAGTTGAGTTTATTTTAAAATAAAGACAATTAAGTAAACTCTACACACCATGCTAAATAAATTTAAACTTATTCTGATCAGAAAAAAAAATAGATATTACTAGACAATAATAATAAATACTCAACTACAACATTAAAAAAAAAAATTGATTTGTTGCAATGCCAAAATAGTCTACAGCAATACTCTAGTTCAGACCTTAGTAAAATAATAAATATATATTATACTTGTTTTAAACCATTACAAGTAGGTCCTCAGCTGGACCTATGATAAACTGGACTTATCAGATAATCTTTATCATATAAATAAATATATATATATATATAAATATATATAAATAATATGATGTTATGTACAGAAGGAATATTTATAAAATCATGTGAAATGTATGACAAATAAATATTCAGTTACCACAATCTTTCTATATTTGTTAAATAACAAACAATAGATGGCCAGTTGTCTAATACTAGTTGTTAGTAACACAAATGTCAACGTTAAATAGTCACAATGTATTTTAAATATTAGATATTGCATAATGCAACACTCCAATAAATAAAATCATTATAATTAAAAGGACAACAAATCTTAAACTATGGTAAAGAATATATTAAAAGGATTAGAATTTATTATGTTTATAAATAGTTATAGGGAGCTGCCTCTTTACTCAATTCAATTGATTCTAACAAAAACTTACATCTAATTTTAAATATAATAAAATGAAGACTAAGTTATTTCATTATACAAGCAAAAACTCATGCTTCGGGCAAAGAAAAAGAATTCTTCAAATGAAGACATGGATATTGACGAGTATAATCCAAATCATTTTCATCCCATTCATCATCATCACTGGATTCTGAACGTACCATTTTGATAGTTGCAACAATCGGCACAGTAGTAAAATGGTCTTCAGATATTGGCATTAAATTTTTCAACTTTTGCCTAAAAAAATATGTTACATAATTCAAAATATTATTCACAGTATAAATACTCTACAAGATTAAAACATTAAAACAAACCAAATTCTTCGATTCGCAACGGCAAAGACTTTGGGAAGTGGAAATCCATTAAATGTACTAGCAACAGGTATTGTATAAGCTCCCATGTCCTCAAAAGTAATCCAGTCACCCATTTTCATCAATGGCATATTTACCAAATCAACTACTTGATCTAAACCATCACAAGTAGGTCCCCAGATAGAACTTTGACTTATTGTACTCATTGGATAATCCTAAAGTAATGTTAACATAAGTTTATTATACAACTGATCAATTAACAATTCAATATTATTCAACTTACATTCAAAGGTTTGGGTACAACAACTGAGTGATCATAAAGAATACTATTGAAAGAACCATACACTCCATCATTAATAAAATACATAATATGGTTTTCATCATTTGAACGTTTTTTAATGGAG